TGTGAACTTAACGTGAAATCTGCTATAGAATTTAGGAATGCAGATGTTAATTCCATAAATCCTTCAATCACAAAATGTACATAGTATAATGATTTTTCAGGGAAATCCTTGACTTAAATACATGAATTACATTATTAAAATTATGGGATTTTTTCCTTTGTCACTACAATCTACCCTCGTTAAGAATTTTCGTCCCGAAAATTAGAACAACTCGGGGTAGCTTTTCCTCATATCTTCTTCGCGTTCCCAAGTAGCTTCCTCAATATTGTGATTTCGCCACAAGCTTTTAACTAAAGGAATTACTTTATTCCTTCAAGTTTTCTCCTCGCCAGCCAAGATCTGGACTGGTTTCTCTTCGTAGGTGAGGTCCGCGTGCACTTCGACAGGTTCCTGGTGCAACACATGCGACGGATCTGTCACATATTTCTTCAACATCGATACGTGAAAGACGTTGTGTACAGAGGCTAATTCTGGCGGCAATGCTAGTCTATATGCGACTTTTCCAATCCTTTCAAGGATCTCAAAAGGTCCTATATACCTCGGACTGAGCTTCCCTTTCTTGCCGAATCTCATTACCCCTTTCATTGGTGCCACCTTCAGAAAAACTAAGTTTCCTGCCTAAAACTCCAGTGGCCTGCGGCGTTTATCCGCGTAACTCTTCTGGCGACTGTGAGCTGTATCTAACCTCTCTCTGATAAGTCTCACATCCTCTGTGGTTCTCCTAATGAAGTCTACTGTTTCTAGATGCTTCTCCCCCGGTTCGTACCAGTGAATTGGGGACCTGTATCTTCTTCCGTATAGAGCTTCGAAAGGTGCCATTCCTATTCACGCGTGATAGCTGTTATTGTAGGAAAACTCTATCAAAGGTAACTTCCTATCCCAGTTTCCCTTGAAGTCCATGACATATGCCCTCATCATATCTTCTAGGGTCTGGATGGTCCTCTCAGATTGGCCATCTGTCTGCGGGTGAAAAGCCGTACTGAACTTTAGCTTAGATCCCATTGCGTCATGTACATTTTTCCAAAATCTTGACGTGAAGCGGCCGTCTCGATCCGAAATGATGGATTCTGGAATTCCATGCCACGCTACTATCTTAGACACGTAAAGTTCGGCCAGCCGCTCAACAGAATAACTGAGTTTGATCGGCAGAAAGTGTGCGGATTTAGTCAATCGATCCACGATTACCCAAATTGCATCATTACCATCGGATGTTCTGGGCAACCCTACCACGAAATCCATCGTGATTTGGTCCCACTTCCATTCTGGAATATCAATCTTCTGTAGTTCTCCTGCTGGACGCTGATGCTCTGCTTTAACTTTCTGACAGTTAAGGCACTTCGATATAAATTCAGCCACGTCCTTCTTCATTCCTGGCCACCAAAAGCTCCTTTTTAGATCCTTATACATTTTAGTTGCTCCCGGATGAACAGAGTAAGGCGTTTCATGTGCTTCTGAAAGGATATGCTTCCTCATTTCCTCATCTTTAGGGACGCATATCCTACCCTTGTGGAGGAGTGTGCCGTCCTCCGCGAGGCTAAACACCATTTCTTTGCCTTCGAGAACTTCCTCCTTTAACTTCACCAAGGTAGGATCGGATTCCTGACTACTCTTCATGTGCTCGAGGATGGTCGGCTGTAGGGTGAGAGATGATACCTTCCCTGAAATTATCTCAATTTCAAGGTCGTCTATGTCCTTCTGCAGGGGTTGTGGCAGAGCATGGATTGCCATTAACGTTGCTGACGACTTCCGACTTAGTGCATCCGCCACCTTGTTTGCTTTTCCGGGATGATAGAGGATCTCACAATCATAGTCCTTTACCAATTCCAGCCATCTTCGTTGTCTCATATTCAACTCCTTCTGCGTGAAGATGTACTTGAGACTTTGGTGGTCTGTGTAGATCTCACACTTCGCTCCATACAGGTAGTGTCGCCATATTTTCAATGCAAAAACCACCGCTGCAAGTTCTAAGTCATGCGTCGGGTAGTTCCTTTCATGATCTTTAAGTTGTCGCGAGGCATAGGCGACCACCTTTCCTCCTTGCATGAGAACGGCTCCTAATCCTTTCTTAGAAGCATCGCTGTAGACTACGAAGTTCCTTTCATCCGCATCTGGAATGGTCAACACTGGTGCGCTGGTGAGTCTCCTTTTTAGCTCCTGGAAGCTTTCTTCGCACTTCTCGGTCCATTCATACTTCCTTTCCTTCCGTGTGAGAGCCGTGAGCGGTGCTGCTAGCTTTGAGAATCCCTCCACAAAGCGTCGGTAGTATCCTGCTAAACCCAGAAAACTACGTATCTCTGTCACAGTCCTCGGAGCTGACCAATTACTAACTGCTTCGATCTTGGCGGGATCCACGGTAACTCCTTCCTTGGATACTACATGCCCTAAAAATTGTACCCTTTCTAGCCAAAATTCACACTTTGAAAATTTGGCATACAACTGGTTCTCCTTTAATATCTGTAGGGCAGTCTTCAGATGCTCCTCGTGCTCTTCCTTCGTTTTGGAGTAGATCAGAATGTCATCTATGAAGACGATAACAAACTTATCCAGATGGTCCTTAAATACTCGGTTCATCAAGTCCATGAATGCTGCTGGAGCATTGGTCAGTCCAAACGGCATCACGAGGAACTCGTAGTGTCCATAACGAGTCCTGAAAGCTGTCTTTGACACGTCGCCTTCCTTTATCTGAAGTTGGTGGTACCCTGAACGCAAATCAATCTTGGAAAAATATGCAGCTCCCTTCAATTGGTCGAATAGATCATCGATCCTCGGCAGTGGATACTTGTTCTTGATTGTAATCTTATTCAGCTCCCGATAGTCGATACACATCCTCAGTGTACCGTCTTTCTTCTTCACGAACAAAACTGGTGCTCCCCATGGCGAATAACTCGGGCGGACAAAACCTTTATCTATCAACTCTTGCAGTTGCACCTGAAGCTCTTTAAGCTCGGCCGGGGCCATCCGGTACGGTGCCTTAGAAACCGGTGCTGATCCTGGCATCAGTTCAATCTCGAATGAGATTTCTCGCTCTGGGGGTAGTCCCGGTAATTCTTCTGGAAAGACTTCCACAAATTGTTTGACTATTGGAATGTCCTCCGGTCTCAACTTAATCTCCTTAGACTTGTCCACCATATTAGCTAGAT